TGGGCAGAAATCAAAAATATCTGCGAAAAGCTCACTGCGACACACTGCTGCAGTAGGATAACCAGGCCTTTAGTACCTACACCAGCAGCTTATTCCCTCTAGAGGGGAATCAAACCCAGAGCAGAAACTTGGGTTTAAGATTTGTTTATAGGCAATCAGTTAGCGATTTTTGGATATTTGGCCTTGATTTCCAGTTCACATCACTTTGAATCAATAATACTCCTTTCCCACTGGCTGTAAAACCTGTTTAAAAACAGGAACAATGGCCTGGTAGTGTCAGTGGGAACAGTCCACTGACGTGTGTCTACCCGGGTCGCGTTAAAATCTCCTCGGCTCTGATCGGCATGCTGTGGGAACACCAGACCGGGATCGGCCCACCAAATTACGCGATTCTATTGAATGCAATGTACGGCCGTCAACACACCGCGTCAGACGCGTCCGATCTAACAAGCAGAAACATGATAAACATGGAGAAACTTCCTTCTATTTCCTTCCATGTTGCTCTCCATTGTTTACTTCCCTGATTTCTGTTGCACTGATGACATCATTAAGGCTAACCCAGCGTGAGGGTGTCACCAGACACACATCGTCCGGCGAGGGTTAGATCAGCTTTTTATGCCAGTGGGAAAGGAGCCAAATGCGTATTGTCAGCGGGTCGACCTGTGTTTGAAAAACGCACGTTAATCCGGTTTTATCAATGGGGCTCAAAACTCTTCTTTGGTTTTTACTGAGATGTATCATTAGTAAACCTTCTAAAAGGTGAAGGGTGCCACATCGGGCGAGAGAGAGCGGCATATTTTGTCCAGTAGGAGCACAGAACCAGAGATGCTGGATCCGGTTCCACTTGGTGCAGTGTGAACAGATGTTAGAAGTGAAACCTGTTTTAACCTTTGTCTCGTGTAGTCAGGCTTTCTTGGCGTTTTTGTCATTAAAAAGATGTTAGAACTGTGTTGCATTTTAAATTTGTTACAGATTATTTGAACTGATGTTTAGAAGTTTCGGGATTTGAGCAGGAATATCTGGATGAAAGGCGTCATTAGGGAAATTTTCTTTAAAAGCAGGAATGAAGTTCAAATTACTCCAGATATGGTTCCGGTCTAGATTATATGTTTGAAACAGACCAGAGAAGCCGAAGACTGTGTGATGATTGATACAGATGTGAACGGCTTTGACAAACAGATCAAAGCAGAACTGATCCAGGAGGACAGGAAGGTTCATCTTATCAGGAAGGTCCTGATGTTGAGTATCTGTTGGGAACAGACCGATACATCCCCCCCTACTCTACGTCTGAGATGTTCCTTTAAAGTTGTACCACACGTCCGATGAAAAGGGACGATGCTTGATGAGCTCACTGGAGCAAAGCATCTTCATTACGATAATTAGGCTCCGCCTCTTCGTCTTCCTCCCTGCAGGCGTTTGGCTTCATTAATCTGGTCCTGTGGGCCGGAAACATCTGGTTCGTCTTCAAGGAAACGGGGATCATCGCTCCTTTCATGCGCGCTCCCCCTCCTCAGGAGAAACCTGCTCCGGATGCCTACGGCCAGCAGGGGGCGTACGAACCAGACCCATATGCCAGCAACCAGGGAGGCTACCAACCCGAATATAACCAGCAGGGGTACAACCAGGTGAGCCACAGAGCAGGTAACCACTAACACCGAACGGGGAGTTCAAACATCTACTGATCTCTACCAGAGAAAAAAAAACACCTTTACTTCTCTCAGGGTTTTCAGACATTTGGGATTAGAACTCCTGAATGTGTCTGGATGGTGTAGTGGGAAAAAGTATTCAACTATTTACCCCAGTTAAATAAACTGAGATTGTTGGATTTATTCAGTCAGAACTTTACTGCTCTGTAATCAGCCCTGTTCTGACTTGACAGAGTTTGTCTCCTTTACTTATGTTGATGAAAAAACTGTGAGGGTTGAGAAACAATTTGGCTTTTATTAGGAAGAAGTATGTTTTGTCTAAAACCACCCTCACTCAGCCTTGCAGGTGAAACAAAAGGAGTAGAAACATTTTTCACTGGATAAATAGCATAACGAACTATATGAGACCAGAGAAATCTAAATTTTCCGACCACAATGGCCGAAAAGAAAAAGTGACTCAGTAACTTAGCTTGCTCCGTGGAGCTCTCCTGGGCTTCACACCACAGCGGAGCAGAAGTCTGGTGCGTTAAAATTTATGGGCCGCGTCTTCCAAGGACGCAGTCTACCTGGATTGGATCCTTCGAAGTCCTTGAAAATAAGGAGACGGATGAGTTCTGGCTGTGGATTCAAACAGGTCCAGCCTTCCGTGGCTTTCACCGCCGTATCTCTGTCGCTTAGCAACCATGAAAGTTGACACACAAAGCAGGAAAAGAATGACCAAACTTTTCAAAACTGTTTCTTTTTAAGACTTTTTAAGACTTCACTCGTGAGAATCCAGAGTGGAATAAAGGTGCCAACCACCTGATGGTCCCTGTTGGTCTCAGATGGTCCCTGATGGTCTCCGATGGCCCCTGATGGTCTCCGATGGCCCCTGATTGTCCTTGATAGTCTCTGATGGTC